AATACGTACAAGTTGCATTTATCTTCCACATATTCAACTATTGCAGTTATTGCATCAATTGATTGGGGTTAAAATAGGACTTAGCAGCTCGACTTCATCACACAAGTGCATACGTAGCTTTGCATTTGAGGTGTTGTCAGTACCGTGATGTGAATGTACCAGTACCACATTTCCGATTGTTACAATATGCGTTTGGTGCGTAGAGCAGTGGATGCATGTACATTGTCTTAAAATGAGAAGTAGCAAAATCTGATGCGCATATATGTTTTGTGATTCCAAAAGCATGCTGCGCTCAGGTCTGGATCTTTCATTATAAAGATTCTGCTTTTGCTAGAATCAAACCATATCGTAGGGCACGCCCTTACTTTTTGCTCATCTTAGCAACAGTAATGCTTGTTTTACCAATCTGACAAAGTTGTTGCTATATATTTCCTTATCGGTTTACATAAGTTATCATCGGCAGCGCTACTATGGTCTTATTGCTTACACCAAAAGGTAGAATTAATCCTATGGCAATGCAACATATCCCTTTCCACATTAACATTTGTGACCTTTAAAGCACTAGGCTATTCGCTTAGTAGCGCATGATTGCAGCACAAAATACGAAAGTAGCATGATGATGTTTAGGCATGACCTGTTTTTTTACGCCTAAAAAACATTTACAGTATCGTTTTCAATTAAAAAAGAAGGAATTCAACACTTTGCATAATTTTCCAACTATGATGTAGACCATCACAAATTGGAGAACTTTATTAAGTAGCCGCATTGAAAAGGGGATAAAGTGGAAAATGACATTAAGCAGTGCATCGTTTGCTAATTACCTTGATGCCGGCTTTTCCTATAAACGTGATGATTGGGTATTCAAGCAACGCTGTTAAGGTATATTTTGCCTGATTGGTCCAGATGTTAAAGGTCAGGTCAAGATATTAAACCTTTGAGTTAATGAATGAAAAGCAGATGGGACCAACAGGCGTCCATCACGGTTCCTGCCACTTTTTAATCTTCGCCTTAAGGTGTGAGGAAAAAGTGTGTTAGATTACATAAGTGCCAATTTAAAGAGCTAAACATCTGCCAGTTATTTTATTTCCTTCAGCGATGAATAATGGAATAAGTGATGGAGGCTAAAAAGTGCAAGGATTTGCTGCGGTAATAGTAGGCCTAAGTGCTTGAAGCAAGGAAGAGGTGAATAAGGCCATTATGAGGAAGGAGGGATAGGTCACAATCAGTGAGCATCCATGCAGTTACGTCATTTGCATCCCAGCGTCTCCATCATTTCGGCTTATTTTATCTCCCCATTAACACTTTCTTTTCATGATAACAGTTAACACTTTATCTAATTCGTAGACTTGACAAGTCAGAAGCCGAATTGAAAGCATATTTATTGGCAGGTTAGCAAGTGGAATTAAAAGCAGAGGAATGAGCAGACTCTCAGCCTTCCCTCAACTCCACAAATACACCGTCAGTTATAGTGCAGGGCTCGCAATTAATCGCACTTCCTGTTTGACCTAAAGTAAAAGCCGTCCCATCCCATCTCTTTCTAATCGACTTCACCTCATCTCATGTCTCGCCTCTCACCTCTAAAAATAACAGTATGGAAGCCGTATTCTTCGTAGAATACATGAGGAA